GCTTATTGTAAAATACTACCTACACTGGACCACCACGTTTGAGATATCTTTTTCAGGTAGTTCAGACACAAACCACGACAGCTTATTGTACTACCTACACTGGACCACCACGTTTGAGATATATTTTTCAGGTAGTTCACACACAAACCACGACAGCTTATTGTAAAATACTACCTACACTGGACCACCACGTTTGAGATATCTTTTTCAGGTAGTTCACACACAAACCACGACACTATCTACAATGGACTACCACGTTTGAGATATCTTTTTCAGGTAGTTCAGATACTAACCACGACATGAACGACAGCTTATTGTAGAATACTACTTACACTGGACCACCACGTTTGAGATATCTTTTTCAGGTAGTTCAGACATTAACCACGGCAGCTTATTGTAGAATACTACCTACACTGAACCTCGTGTATAACCACGCTCATTGACCTTAGTCTGCAAACCTGCTATCCATGGACCGCAAAATGACATGCAGGGGGGGACGAATACCCTGGTTGCCAGAGGTTCTCATCTCTTCCGCCCTATTCTCGCTCGTATTACGTAATTTATCATACGGCGATACACGGATACAAGAACGGCTTTGGAACCAAGGTAGGGGACGAACAGAATGGAAAGAAAGCACTCTGCACTCAAACCACAGGGAGCCCATCCCGAATCTTATTGGAGTTAATATGTATTAGCATTACATATGAGATATATAGCTCAGTGTTATTGTACTTGTCACGTTTTAGGAAGAGTTACTATTTTCAGACTTTTCTATTAATTCGGTTAGCGTTAAGCCTGGTTTCCATTAAATCGTTATTATCGCAAGAACCGCATCGCAAGCGTCGCAACGATTTAAAAAACGCGAAAATTTTAAAGGCACAGTTCAGCCTGTTGAACGATGGTTTTTAAGGCGCATTTCAGCCCTGTTAATTGAAAAAACTAACTAGGAAAATCAATTAAGCATAATTCAAAATCAGTAAACTCGATGTTTTTAACAATATGAATGTTTTAAAATGTTAAAAACATTAAGATTGGTGATTTTGAATTATGCTTAATTGATTTTCCTAGTTAGTTTTTTCAATTAACAGGGCTGAAATGCGCCTTAAAAACCATCGTTCAACAGGCTGAACTGTGCCTTTAAGGTGGTCTTACACAACGCAAAGTGGTGTTTTGAGTGAAATTTGCCATTTTTCAAAAATGGAAATAATACAAACTTTAAACCCTACTTAATCATATTTGTATCATTTTATTGCTCAAAAATACCTAAAAACCCTGAAATTTTAGCAAATTCGATAAATTTACACTTAGCAACGCCCATAGCAACCAGATATCTGCCTTTTTGAAAGCGTTCTAGGTTTGAATAATTTAGATTTAGATCAGTTTTTACCCCTCCCTTTCAAGTATACTGTATTGAAGTATTCCCATTTTAGCTTTGCTACCGCTGGTCAGTCTTTTCATTATTTTTCAAATCAAAATTCGAAGCCATGTTTGTGTCGAAAAAGTGAAATTTTTTAATAACTTCTGGTCGCTGTATTTGTGATTTTTCGCCGAATATACTTCTCTTTGTGGACTAATCGTCTTTTGACAGTGGTATTAAGGGAAAGATCGTAAAGGGGAAAGAGAAAATTCCATGGGAATCGGCACGTAAATGATGCAGAGAAAATTTGTGTTGACAGTATTGAGCAACCAGTGAGTTTCCAGTGAGTCGGTTGCTAATCTCTCTGCTTCAGCAAGAAAAATAGGTCAGTCTTGTAGCTTTGATGCTACCAGTAGCAGTTCCAAAGATGAAGAGCCTAAAATAATTGCTTATCGTTTCATTGATGTGTAATAACTGAATGAACTTTTGCAGCAAGTGTCATTGTAAGTATGCGGAGAATCTGGTCTTAGTCTTAAAGATGATCCTTGGGAAAGAATAGGTTGTGCTTCTCATCTTCGGCTGTGTTGTGATAAATGTGGCTGGGTTTATACATTTTTACATAAAAAAGTCAAACTTTTTTTTATGTAAACAGAAGACTTGTTTATGCAATGAGAAAGCATTGCCATTGGACAAGGAGAAGCTTCTGTGAGACGTTTCTGTTCCCTAATGAATATTCCCACACCACCGAAACCTTCTGCTTATTCAATTTGTAATGATACCTTGTTGAAAGCAAGTTGAAAGACTGTGGCTACTGATGTGATGGGGAATGCTGGTAAGGAGTTACACCATGACAATAACAGTGATGACGAAGTTCTCCAGTGCGGTGTTTACTGAGACGGAACTTGGCAAAGACGGCGATATTCGTCATTAAATGGTCAGGTTACTACCATTTCAATGGTAACGGGTAAATGCCAAGATGTCGAGATTTTGTGTAAGGTATGTCGTACCTGCCAAAGGATTGATAGAGAGACAGATGATGAAAAAAGGCATTGCATAAAGCTGACCATATTGGAAAATACAAGGAAAACTATGCAGGTTACAATATACAGAGTATTTTGGTGATAGTGATAGCAGGAAGGCACCACCTATAAGGCAGGATTGTTTTAAAAAGTCAGGGTGTTAGCTAGCCCATATACTGTCCGTTTGATGGACTCTTCCCAATTGAAGTAGCTAAGGGGCTTTCCCAACTGGGTCTACAAGAAGATTTTCATTTTTTTCTGATGAGAAAGTGCATTGCGTTTAATTATATATTATTATATCAAAGAACGTTTTATTTACTTTTTCCCATTAATTATTTTCTCAAAATGTGTCACGTTTCATTCATATTGGGTGTGTATTCACTGAAATGAAATGTACAAAACAAAGTGTAATCGGTGTGCATCCGTGTTCATTCAGGGGAAATGAAATATACAAAATGAAGTGCCATCGCGGGTGCATTTTTCCGTGTTCATTCACCAGAAGTGAAATGTACAAAACCAAGCTACCGTTGTTTGCATCTAAGGAGAAACACATTGGAAAAAACCACTATTATTCCTACACAAGGACTTAGATCGGTCAAAAAAACTTTCCCAACTTACGTTTAACAGACAAAACTTTTTTCTTCTGGCTAACACCCTGAAAGTAAAAATGTCATTTACTGCTTTGTATTAGCTTCCACTGCTGAAATAACTTAAACCATAAACTTTAAAGCTGTTTTTCTCAATTTGTAAAAATGGTCCGATTTCTCAATTTTCATGCATGATATCTCAAAAACTATTAAAGGTATCCTGATCAAATTTTCAGAGTTGCTAGTACATATCATGCTCCAGGGAATGAACTAGAATAATTGAGTTCTGCTGCATTTTCAAGGAGTTATCACTGTTTCAGTGATGCATGTTTCCGCATTTTTTGTGTTTGGTAGGATAAATTCTGATAATAGTTGTTCTATATGCAGTAAGGAAATTATTCTAGTTCATTCCCTAGACACTATTGTAACTAACAAAATAAAAGTTATTTTAGACTTCTATCATTAATTCTCACCTAGTTATCATGTTTGAAAATTGACCCATTTTTTCCCTTCGGGCATGGCATATATTGGTTACTATGGTAACAGTTCACTAAAGAAGTATATTTTCATGGTTGGGTAACCACCTTCAACAACACTGTGTAGTTAGATTTTTGTTTTGGACAATTTGTAGGAAAAAATTTTTTTTGTATTGTGGCCAGGTTGAATAAACTGTAGAGAGACTCAGAGACACCTTAATAGTTGTTGTTAGTTAACTTCCTGTTATGATCACTTCCTGTGACGTCATGAACACGCCATGCTGCAAAATGCAGTTGAACAAATATAAAAGCTATTTCGAAAGGTATTTATTCAGTATTTTATCGTCAAAGAAACATTTATATCGAAGAAAAGAACAACATTAAAAGGGAATTAACATTCTCGGGCAGTTGCCCGGTAAGTTAACGTTATTATCCAGTAATTATAGAAGTATTGCTGTCTTATAATCGTGTTAAAGGTATAAAAATATACGCATGAATATATTAATCGTAATAGCTGTTGAAGTATGGTCATTTTGAGTAATTTATGTAAATAGTTCTTTAGAACGGTGCATGATTTGTCTTAAGTTTGACATTATAGACGGAGATATTTATGGTTTCATCAACTTTTGGGAGATATATTACTTTGTATTTGATAAATCGGCATGTTTATTGTAGGATACAGGAAGTGTGTATTTTAATATTTTGTTTACTTAGTTATATTGATTAACTTTTATAGCTTGTAACCGTCGCCCTCGTATTTTGGGGTACATGTTCAAAAGAAAAAGAAAATTATAAACAGTTTTCACGAATCTATTACGTCCCGGTCACAGTATTAATTATGCACCTATCATTGTTTTCTCCCTGAGGGGGGAGTGCGGGCGACCCAGGGGACTTTGACAACACTATGAAGCTCCAGTGAGGGGAATTTGACCTATGCATCAACTCCACTGAGCTATACTATATTACTGGAGGACCTGCTCGGCATGAAAGAGTGTCGCCAAAAACATGGCGGCGCTTACGCCATTGCCATGACTACTGGTCCGAAGTCTCCATGGTAATTGCCACTGACCAACCGCGATCCGAAGCATTAAACAAAGTCTTGCACCCCCCTGTTTTTTCCATATATGTTTTTTCCGCCTTGGTTGTTCAGCAAACAAGCATCGAAAAATCAACAAAAAATGCCTCAATTTTGCTCTATTTATGGATGCCACCATGCTCTGGCAAAGGAAAATATTTCTTCTCACCGGTAAGAATTCATGAAATACATCTTTTCTTTGCTATGTTGTAAAAAAAAAGTACAGTTCTGTTTATTTGTAAAACAAAAAGATGTTTTCAAAAATAGACGTTTTAATTGCAAAACAGTAGATATTTTATATTTATAGTTATTTTTACCTTGTTTATTATTTTGTTTTGTAGTTGTAGTTGAGTAGTTGCTATACTTATACATCGTAGGTCCTTTACTGCAGTTTTTATTACAGAAAAAAACCCTGTTTTACACTATTTTTCACAAATGCAAAAAGAAATGGCGTCATCATTTAATTTACATATGAATAATATTTTCATATTAATTTTTGTTTAATGGCTTTAATATATATTTTATATGGTATGATGCATTGCATAGTGAATTTAAGGGTTGCCAAATGATATTTAGTATATTGTTATATTGTAAACGCATTTTAACACTATTTTTCACAAATGCAAAAAGAATGGCGTCATCATTTAATTTACATATGAATAATATTTTCATGTTAATTTTTGTTTAATGGCTTTAATATATATTTTATATGGTGTGATACATTGCATAGTGAATTTAAGGGTTGCCAAATGATATTTAGTATATTGTTAGTATATTATAAACGCATTTTAAATTTGCAGCTTCCCAGATGCAAGGAAAAACCCTGAAATGTATGCCATATGGGTTGAAAATGCAAACAAGAATTCACCAGTCAAGTTTGTTCCCACAAAAGGAAGTCGTATTTGTTCAGGACATTTCAACTCAGACATGATTGAAGAAGGTGGGAAAAGAGTGATACTGAAGTCATATGCTGTCCCAACAATATTTCCAAACTTTCAGGTATGTGCGTTTCTTTGTTATGTTTAATTACCATGTCATTTTGTTCTTTCCATCTCCAGCCTGCTTAAATGCATTGTAGTTTCTCGTTCAGAGTTATGGAAGGTTTATTGGATTGGGGGAATAATAGCAAAAATTTTAAAAAGGTTTCAGGGAGTGGGCTAGCTACTCTGCATGGGAGAGGTTTCTTAAGGGTGAGTGGGCCAACATAATTAGAAATAAATAGAGGTGTGGGCATATCTGAATTTGAAATAAATTTTGAAAGACTCAAAATCCACATGTCGTGCAATTTCTAAAATACAATATGACATTTTTCATTTGCAATGACATTTTGTATCTCAGGGTTTTTCTATATATAGTTCCAGTTTGCCCTGTTTGTATAAAACGTAGTGCACGTTTATGCTCCTGGAGTAACCATCCCCCTCCGGGACACCCCCGGGAATTTGCCTGATAGACAGGCTTTCTGGCATCCTTGTGTAGAAAAGTAGGACAAAAGTAGGACTAGAATTTTAGGAAAAGTAGGAATAAAGTAGGAAAATGTGTAGAAATTAAGTAGGACAAAAGTAGGAGTTTTGGAGATGCAAATAACACAAAAATATACAAAATTGGCATGTGGTAAGCGGTAGACCATTAGATATCTGATGGGGAAGTTGTGTGAATTTTTGGTGCTCAATATTTTTATGTACTCAAAAATTCATCTCTGCACGATTTTTTTCTCAAAACGTTTAAATTGCATCGGTATAATTAGCTAAGGCATGTCTGCTCTGCAGCTGCAACACAATTCAAATGCATGTATTAGGATACACAATGCACCAATCCACACTGCGGCAGGAGAATATATCTGAGGACCGTAGGAAGCTCTTTTCGATTCGGGGTGGGGGGGGGGGGGCTGAAAGCGAGCTAGGGTCGAAGGCCCGAGGAAATTTTTTAATTTAGAGTCTAACTATATATATTGGATAAGTTGCAGGAAAGTATGGGTAAATTAGCTTCATTCTTTAATTAACCTGTGCCATGTGCCATTCTTTATAACCTGTGATATTTTCATGCTTTATAACCTGTGCATTTATAACCTGTGCCATTCTTTATAACCTGACTGTGCCTTTTAATAACCTAGCTGTGCCATGCAAATTTTAATAAATACAACTATTAGTGGTAAAGGTTTATGATTTCATTGTTAATTTAAATACTTTTAATTAAGCAAGATTCAAGTTTATATTAAAGTTTTATAATATTCCATTATAGTAGTTAAATACTATGTTATTAAATGACCATGCAATTATATGCCATCAAAAGTTTAATTAACATTTAAAATCGCCCCTGGGGTGGGGCATTTTCCACTCTAAGCTTCTGCCCATGCATGCAAGGGCCGGACATTAGTCTTCAAGTTGTGTCCCGGCACCTGGGCATTTACACTATGGTAACCAATCAAATCAAATTCGGTGCAGCCCTGGGATGGTTACTCCTGGAATTGACTCATGCATTAATATACTTTGATCATTTTAAAATATCAAGTGTTCATATTATTTTAAAGGTTTATTAATCTATCCATATTTGAAATAGGAAAGACATGTTATGTGATTAATTTTGTAAACGATGGCTCTTATAGTTTTATTGCATATTATATCATGATAATATTTTTCTCATAATTAATAATATTAAAATTAATGCAACTTTAAGTGAATAATACAGAGCTTGAGGGTAACGGGCCATGAATTTGTGTCGATGCATGCAATGACTCTGGGATGGACTGCAAATATAATTCAAAAACTCATTAATAATTCATGAAGCAATGATCCAATCTTGAGTAAGAAATTAGTCACGTGCATATACGTCTTTATACCAGCTAAAGAACACTTTAACAAAAGACCATTGTTATGCAAACTATATAAAGATTTTTATATAAAGATTTTTATATAAAGATTTGACTTATTATGCAAACGTTTTTGAAGCCTGCATTTAAAAAACTCGCAGGTCGTGTTTTATTAGGTCTAAAGCCACTCGCGCTGCGCGCTCGTGGCTTTAAACCTAATAAAACACTCCTGCTTGTTTGAAAATACTATAAATCGACAATGCAAAATTACTGGCCTGCCCCCCCCCTAAATTATAATGATCGAATGATATAACAGTCCCTATAATAAAGACAGTACAGTCCGGCAGATGAGCTTGATTGCTGATTTATGCTCAAAACTTTGCCTTCTTATAGCAATTACTTGTGGCATTCAAAAGGGTGAACCAAAACCAAAACTATGAAATTGAATCCTTAAAACCTAATCTATAGATTGAGTAACAATATGTGATCTTAATCTGATCTACAGTAGATTATTGCATGAGCTAGTGTTCAAAATTTCTCAGCAATGTGAACCAAACAGTAGATTAATACTAAATAAATGTATAATGCAACCCTAAATGCCCAATAATATATAATGGAGTGACTTAAATTAACTGTAGAAATTGATTCCTTTAAAAATAATGTGTTGTCCTGTAACCTAGCTGGTTGGTACAGTACCATCATGCAAGGCTGCCAACGTAATGGGGAAATACCCCCAGCTCTCTTTCAGTTCATACCTAAATCCTTTAAACTCATTAAGGTGAAATGTGCCCAACTAATTAATGCACCCCAGTACTTTATTATTTTACTCCATCTAACATCAGACAATTTCACTCATGTGAAGGGATCAAGAGTCTAAATGTACATCAATGAGTTTATACGTACTATTTAAAACACAAGAAGGAGTGTTTTATCATATTTAAAACGCGAGGCGCAGTACATATAAAATACGACTACAAAAGAATACTAATTAAGATGCACAATTATATAATCATACTAATTAGGATGCACAATTATATAAAGAATACTAATGAAGATGAGTTTTATCAGATATAAAGTCACTCCACGTGACGTATTATGGCTGACATGATTTGCAACAAGGTTTATGAATTTTTAATGAGTATTTTAAATAGTACATAAAAGCTTGTTAGACATATACAACATTTGCATCACTGTCTATGCATCAGTAATGGAAAATGCAAGCTTTGAGGTTAGAATACTATCAATGTAAACTAAATATATGGCGAACTAATTGCCTTTTGCCTTATAGCCAATTGGTAGAATTTATATTGGTCTTGCATGCGTGTACCATTCAAGTTCAAATATTTACAACTAATATTCGCAAGAGACCAACCAGTTCAAGAAACTGAATAAGATTATAAATAGAGCCACACTTCACTTTGTTATCATCAGATAGGTTAATTAGGCTAGATAAGAATCATAAGATCTATAAAGACAGATATATATATATATAAGGCTTACTAATTAGCCTTAATTAATTAACATAAATAAATTATTTAATAATAATTCGATCATTGTTTAAATTTTTCAGGTAATAAAGAATGGACAAGCAGGTATTGAGAAAGTCTTAAGTCAGGATGTTATAGAAGTAGAAAAGTTCCATGGTATGTCATATGAAAAACATAATTTAGTAAAAACAGTGATAAAAAATGAAGATAAAGCATTAAGTTTGCAGGTGGTTAATGAAAAAATAGCTATCATGGATAGTGTGAATATGCAGGTAGTGACTGAAGAGGTAACTACCGAAGGCAATGTAAGTATATTAGGAGTAAAGAGAAAATATACGGATGAAATAGAGATTTATCAAGAATGTATTTCAAATGAGGTAAGCGTGTCTCCAAAAAGAGCACGTACGATCAGTTCTTTTGATGATCACCCATATTGTATGAAGTCTCCTCATAGAATGAAAAGGCAAGTTGATGATCTTATAGATAAAGTTGAAAATTTACAGAAAAGATTGAAGACATCTCAGAAGAAAACCAATAGAAGAGATAAAAAGGTCAGCACGTTGACTTCAGTGGTAAGTGAATTGAGAGAAAAAAATCTGATCAATAGCGATTGTGCGACTATTCTAGAATCAACTTTTTCTGGAGTTCCAAAGGAACTTATGAAGAGGTTGGTGACACAAAAGAAAAAGAAAAATCTTGGGGCGTATCCACCTGAGCTAAGGTCATTTGCCCTGACCTTGAAATTTTATTCAACTAAAGCGTATAACTATGTGCGAAAAAGTTTTGATTTAGGGTTGCCACATGTAAACGTGATTCGGTCATGGTATAGTTCGATGAATGGCGAGCCAGGTTTTACAAAGGATGCACTGACAGCATTGAAAGCCAAAGTTCTAGCTGCAAAAAGGGATAATCAAGAAGTTGTTTGTGCACTAATGCTCGATGAGATGGCCATACGCAAGCATGTCGAATGGGATGGTAAGCAGTTCCGTGGTTATGTTGACCTTGGGACAGGCATCAATGATGACTCGCTGCCCGAAGCAACAGATGCTCTTGTATTTATGGCGGTGGCGGTGAATTCCGGTTGGAAAGTACCATGCGGATATTTTCTAGTGAATGGTCTTACTGGAGAGCAGAAAGCCAACTTGACCAAAGAATGCATAACCAAGTTGCACGAAGCAGGGGTGAAGGTGGTGTCTTTTACGTGTGATGGTCCCACGTCTCACCAGGCGATGTTGAAATTGCTCGGCGCTCAACTGTCACCTGATAACTTGCAAGCGTACTTCCAACATCCATGTGACCCGAAAGCCAAGATCTACATCTTCCTAGATGCTTGTCACATGATAAAGTTGGTAAGAAACACCATGTCGGACTGGAAGGTCCTAAAGGATAAGGATGGCAACGCCATCAAGTGGCAATTCGTGGAGGAATTGCATAAATTACAAGAGTCAGAGGGCTTACATCTTGCCAATAAGCTCCGATCCGCTCATATCAAGTGGAAACCGCAGAAAATGAAGGTAAATCTAGCAGCACAGGCACTCAGTTCGAGTGTTGCAGATGCCTTGGAGTATTGTGAAGGTAAGCTGAAATTGCCGCAATTTCAAGGGTGTGGTCCAACAGTTCAATGCATTCGTGTTTTTGATCATCTTTTTGATGTTCTGAATTCCAGGAATCCGTTGGCGAGAAATTTCAAGGCGCCAATTAGAAGGTCAAACTATCAGTACACGAAGAGGTTTCTCGATGAGGCAAGTGAGTACATTCGAAATCTGAAAGGTCCAGCTGGCCAGTCGATCCTTACGTCAAAAAGGAAAACAGGATTTCTTGGTTTCCTTTTGTGCATCAATGCTGTTGTGGGATTAGCAGAAGATCTCGTTAATGCGGCGAATCCTGTCCTGAAGTATCTTCTGACGTACAAGATGAGCCAAGATCACTTGGAATTATTCTTTTCAGCTGTGCGAGCTTGTGGTGGGTGGAATAATAATCCAACAACTCGCCAATTCGTAGTAGCATACAAGCAACTGCTGATGAGGCACAACATCGAAGGAGGACGTGGAAACTGCACTCCTCAAGATGATACGGAGATATTGAACAGTGTCCAGGATCAACATGAAATCAACTCCGTACCTACTGGAATTTCTGATATGGCAATTGCAAGGAGATACGACTTGGAGTTGAGACAGCCAACTGCAGACGATCACGACTACTGTGATGTTTCGAACGCCATGGAACTATCTGAGTACAAAGAGGCGGCCATATCGTATATCGCTGGGTATGTGGTGAAGATGGTGGAGAAAAAGATCCACTGTCCGCAATGTCTAGCAGTGTTGACAACGAGCAAAGGAAGCATTCCAGATTTATTCGTAACATGGAAATCAAATGGAGGCCTCAAACTGCCATCACTCGGCCTCATTAAAATATGCGAAGAAACAGAGAAGTGTGTGATGAGAATGCTAAATGTAAATGGAGGTGGTTTACCGCATGGCGCTGGACTTTCAAGTGCGATTGCTACGACAGTGTTATCAGTCTGTGTTGGAAGCGGGGTCTTTAGTACGTTAGACCAACACATGTTTGATTCGACTCCAGGAAACAACCATGTTTTTAAGTTGATTAAATGCTGCTGCCAGAGTTACGTGACGATCCGAATGCACCATTTGAGCAAGACGAGAAATGCAGGAATGCACGACAAGGTAGTACGTAAACAGTTTTCAAAGCTTGTGTTATTCAAACACCAGTAGTTTTCAGCCTGGGCACAACTGTGCTTTCGAGGTAATTGCCCGTACCTATTAATACAATGTCAAAGATTGGTTCAAGCTGTTGACTCGTATCAAGGTTCTGTATGTCTCTGAGAACTATAAATTTATATTTCAAAACCAATCTTGAATTGCTTAACCTGTTCAGACGATTACGTTATGACTATTTAAAACATGAGAAGCAGTGTTTTATCAGATATAAAGAATAATAATAGAGGCAAAGCCGAGTATCTTTAGGTCTGATAAACACGCACTGCGAATGTTTTAAATTGCTACATAAACGATCGATCTAGTAAGTTCATTGGCGAAGTAATTTTCAAAAAATACATTGTAAGTCGAGAAAATCGAAGTTAAAAAAGCTTAAGTAAAGCAAGGGATATCTCTATCACATAAAAAATACGACACGCTTATGATTTTTCTTTGTGTTTTCCTCATGAAGACTGCATGTTTAACCAACTTCATTTTAAATATCCCAGTTATAGACATTGTATTTTTGAGAGGAAGGGCGCCTGGCACAATTTTATTGTGTTTCGAGGAAGCTTGCATTGTTGATAATGCATTGTCAATGGTACCTGCACATTTTAGATGTGTTCGAGGGTTGACAAACGAGTAAGGAAATGAATGGTGTTTGTAAAGAGTTAATGATACCTGAACATTTTAGATGTGTTTGAGGTGTGAAAATAAGAAATGAATGTTTTATCTTGAATTTTCTTGTACAATTAAATAATTGAAGATCGAGGTACGTAATATACGCTACACATACCTGTACTTAGCATTTTACTATGTATATGAATTATTACCATATTTACCGTAAATATTTCTGTTTATTTCTAGGTCCATCCATATACATCAATAACTGGATTGCTGCATGTATATTTTAATTGTGCTTTATTATTATTATTATTATTATTATTATTATTATTATTATTATTATTATTATTATTATTATTATTATATATATATATATATATATATATATATATATATATATATATATATATATATATATATATATATATATATATATATATATATATATATATATATAAAACATGCATCTATGTGACATATTTATGTATTGTACATTGTAACATTAAGTTAGAGTACCACTTATACAAACTGACATTTTAAACAAGCCAGGCAAGCATTTTATCTTTCTTGACGCTTCAATGGGTTGACATTGAACACGTACTACATTTATTTAACGAAAGCTGGAAGAACAAGGAACATAGGGGAATATTATTATCCTATTGAGATTTCTGAATGATAAAGATGAACATGAATGTACTGGTACTCTATAACGCCAAGTAAGTTTTCACAATGAGTTGAGTATATTTAGGTGATCATTAATTATCCTGAATGAATGGCCACTCATGGCCCTCATCTATGGACACCTGAATGATTGGACACTTAATTGGCGGCATTAGCCTGAATGAATGGACAGTGTCTAATGCACTAATGGGTTAACAAGTATCACTAAGAATGATAACTTCAATTTTGCCTTTCCGCCACCTTGTGTGTTCAAGACATTGAGAAAGGCGAAGTTGGATTTATCATTTTTATATATAATTAAACCCCTCAATCCCAATAGATAATATGGTATAGGTTAATTAATATTGCTATATATACTGTATATATAGATGTGATGATTTCCAAAGAAAGATGAAGAGGACTAAAATACATATTCCTCATCATGGCCGGATGACAAAATTGAAAGTTCAAGAGAAAATATATTTATACTATGCTCTTATGGACTAATGTCATCAACATTTTCATCAGTTTTTGATTACAAACGACATTTCAACAGAAATTATATGGTATATATCCTGCTCATCAAATTATGCTACCACATTAATTACCATATCCAACGCATATTAAATAATGGCCATATATTCAGTTATGGACAACATAAGAAGTTTCCGTACCATCCTATATATCATCAACATATTCATCAACTTTTCACAGAATGGATTAAAAAAGATATCTCAAGCGAAAATATATGGTATAGATATTCCTCATCACATAATTTGCTACCATACCATATGGTCTATGCATATATTGAATATTGGATTAATCATCATCGAAATGCATATAACTTCTTACGTACATTATGGATAACAGAATTATCATCAACATGTCCAGTGTTAAATTTCATATAATGGATCACACTGAAGAAATTATGCTGTCATATCATCTAGACACATACTGAAAATTAAAATGCTTGATGTGAACTGCTGCGAACTGCTGCGATTTGTGTTCAAATGGTCCAAAATGTCAAAAAAAGTGTACATGCTTTGGCTGTGAATTAATGTACATTACTTGAATTGGATTAGTGAATTTATATAAAACATTATTTAGTGTTGTTAAATAAAATATAATTTAATTATAAATGTATACTACCTTGTATACCATAAGTCCTCTACTCACGACCCCTCACATAGCAAGAAATGTATTATTAATTATCGATGAAGATTCCTTACTTCTATAAGACTATATGGTCCCTAATGTGTAGACTTTCCAAAGTCCTTTCCAGTCGTTTGTCGCTCTTTTTTAGATAGTCTGTCAACTCTTTTTAAGGAATGTCGCCTGTCGGTCATAACCCCTTGGTGCTGGCCTCCGTAATTGGCTAGTCATGAAATAAATCTTTTCTAGCATGGTTTATATAGAGGACTTATGGTCAACAATATAAACTCCAGTCAATTGGCAATAAATATGCTAATTGTAGTTAGAATATTAGACTAACTTATTTTATAATGCTGTTATATATTTGATTTTAACCCTTATTATTTTACTGTCTTAGATGCCAGGTGAAGCTGTAATATTTTATCCCCGAGCCGACGGCGCGAAGCGCCGTGCGAGGGTACTAATTCCCCCCGGCTATTTACACCCGGGGAAACGAAAGCATTAGCGAAGTCTAAAGTTCATCAAATATCGCGGGCGTGGGTCACTGTGCGTGTTTCGGTGGGTGGTCATCCTCACTGATCTCATAATATAGCGGACTGTAATGAATAGGCAACACTGATTGGTCCAATTTAAAATTAGCATTATAACGGCTGCATGACGATTGACGACAGCGAAATTGATTTGATGCTTTCTTGCAAATATATTTCATTTTTGCAAGATTTTGTAAATTGCAAAGGATTTTTGATGAAATAAAGGCAAGAGGATTGCTAAAAGAAGGAAGTAAAGGTGCCGACGTTAATGAAGGTAAGTTTGTTTTAAATATTAATGCATTGTTTGCTTTTAATATACTGTAATCTCGGCTGTAGTTACTTTAATTTAAAAGCCGATCGTTGCGTATATAAAATATGAAACAAGACAGCGTATTATTTCAGTGTTTCTTTATTGATTACACTTTTTATTATACTAAGCAAAGTTATTTACATGGGAGAATTTGGAATCATTTTATTTCGAACTCAAAGTTTATCGATAAAGGCAGTTTAGTTCTATATTAAAAGAACACTTTCAAACGTTTTGCGAAGCGTTTGTGGTTGAATTTTACCTTAAATTGAAGCTTATATTACGTATAATAACATACCTACTGTAATTACTTTAAAGCCGATCGTTGTGTATAAATATGAAACAAGACAGCGTATTATTTCAGTGTTTCTTTATTGATTACACTTTTTATTATACTAAGCAAAGTTATTTGCATGGGAGAATTTGGAATCATTTTATTTCGAACTCAAAGTTTATCGATAAAAGCAGTTTAGTTCTATAGTAAAAGAACATTTTAAAACGTTTTGCGAAGCGTTTGTGGTTGAATTTTACCTTAAATTCAAGCTTATATTACGTATAATAACATAGCTAACATATATATGTTTAGGAAATTGATAATTTTGTAATTAAAAGTGATATTTATAGGGGATTTTTCATTTGTAAAAATAGTCTTAAAAAATTATCGTGTTACCATGACAACTACTTAAAATACATCACGTTCGGAAAATAAAATGGTTTTGTCAGCAAGGCGAGGGTTTCTGCATGCATGTATTTTCTAGTAGTATTATACTCTGTCTTAAATGCCAGGTGAATTTACTTGTCAGAGAGGGATCGAAAGCTGGCACTCAATTGGTCAATCAGACTATTTGCCTAGTTATTAAGTTTTCGTTGGTAGGGATGCAACTATATATACCTGAAAAATATATTAAGGAGAAGTTTGACTTTTCAAGCAGGAATTCAGTTTATATAGGCTACCCCCTTCCTTGGAATTTCCTAGGAATTCTCTGCCACGCCACAAGTTGTTTAAGCCCTTGGGCTAAAAATTAAAAGTTAATGCCCCACAAACACTCAAGAGTCAAGGCCGTCATCGATTGTTCAAATCAGAATAATTAGCGCTAACCGGGCGCTTGGTTAGAATTTAGCTCGTTTTGGTTTGTGTATTTCTGCATGTTCATTCATTTCAAAACTTTATCCAGACATATGATTTCTGAAAAAAAACTTAAATGATTAAGCTAACCAGCTTTTGAACAACCGGCCAAAGGAGATGAAAAAATATTTTGATGTACCTTCTACAACTGCAACTTGAATCAGTTTATTTTAAATGCGGTAAAAAGTGCATTAGTTTAACATTGATCTATATATTATAGCATTATAGTCCTTTTGTCTTGGTCATATAAGGTTTTTTATTTGATTTTTTTGTCTTTGCAGATGCAGCACAATGTCAAAGTTTTAGTAAGAATTCCATGAATGATTTTTATGAATGGTTTAATGGTTTAATGATTATCATGAATGGCTTAATGAAGTTTTAGATGAACATTGAGTAAACTGTACAATCATATTTTTTAAAAGGTCAGTCAACAGAGAATCAGGAGAATCGAGAGGATAATGTTATTAAATTTTAAAGGTATTGCATGTCTATTAATACTCTATGTTGCAGTCAATTGTTTGTTATTTATATAATCTGTTACTGTTAATCTGAACATATGATATAAACCTATTGAAGTGTCAAAGTCATGTATTTCTCTATTTAGGAAAATGTCATAATTGTGGCCTTTCTGGCCAACAAGACTTCAGTTGCACAAAACGTATGTGTTTTCTTTTAATTTATCTTTTCAAAAAATGTAACAGAAAGACATTCAAAGACTAATATCCTACCTTGTATACTACCTATGGGCTATAACTAGGTTTAGGGGAGTCACTAGTTAGTTTCTAATCACCACTGCTTGTTAATATAAATTGGAGTTAAAATAGTAAATTTTATTTCTTTTTCTGCGTTTACAGCTTACAATCGTGATCATGCAAGCAAGTATAAGTTTAGAAAATGTTGTGTTTTTTTTGTATTGTAATACGACTACTAGTAATTAAATTCAGATTACATGTAAAATGCTTTGATTCTGTCTTGCAGGAAGAAGATGTTATCAATGTGGGAAGCCAGGCCACATTGCAAGAAATTGTTATAAAAAAAGAATGGGCCTGGCATGAATGCAGTTTTAACAAACTACACCAATTGCACTTTTACTGTGACAACAGGCAATTTACCCAACGAAAACTAACCCATGTGTACATGATAGTAACTTTAACTTCAGGTTTCAATTCCTTTAATTAATTTTCATGTGTACAAATACCAATCCGACATGAATCAGTTGCTACTTATTACTTAAGACTTAGTCAAACTCATCTAGGCACATTGTTTTACACTTCAAAAAGTAACCAGGTTAAAATTCATCTGTACATATCCTGGTTAGTTTTCATTGGGTAAATTGCTTGCAATATTGTTACACAGTCATGCAATATTGCACTTATTCAAAGAATAAAATGTTTTAAAAGGGCAAATCTTGGTTTAATTAAGCTAGCTTTTAGAAGGAAATACAGAGCTTTCCAATTCAATATATGGTGAACAAGCCATATTGACTCAGTCCACTTAGTCAAGTACAATTATGATGCAACTCTTCTTTTGGTAGACATTTAAGTCTAAAGTCTTATAGAGTGAACTAATGGTTTGAATTATTAAATTTCATGTTGCAAATATTGGAAACCATTTGCATTTAAAAATAAAAAAAATAATTATATCAAAACATGGAAAGCATATAATCATGTGTAAATGAATGGCACTGAACTAATTCAACTAAATGCAATATACTGTAAGTACAAATAACTTGGTCAAACTTGTTATGTGTTACGTTTCTTAATTATTTTGGCACATGAAAGGACAATACTGTCCAAAACTTCTCTTATTAATTAATTAATGCATAAATGAAACAATTGCTTGGTTTGATATTTTAAGTGAATATAGTGCAATATTTCCATACTGTTTATTTTCCAATTTAAATAAATGTTATTGTATTTCTTATTCAAATATTCATTCAAATTTTCAATGATATATAAATACTTGTGGTTATAAATACAAATTATTATGTAAATATATAAAATTTATTAAAATATTCAATTATAACATATTTTGTGACCTCTCTAATTCCATACATCAATTAAATCATTGTTTGTTACTTGACCACTGAAAATACTGTGTTTAATTAATGCAGTGTGAATTGGATTGGTTCTGAGAAAATTATGAGATATAAATTAAAACAAGTACATTTTTAAACATCCCAAATGACTAAATTGCTACTAGTTCAACTACTTCAACAAATCTATAACAAGTACATTTTTAAAAATCCCCCCCCCAAAAAAAATGACTAAATTACTAATAGTTCATTACAACTACTTCAACAAATCTATATGTCATCAAGAATATCGAGAATGTTTTATTTTCTTTACTTGTGTTACTTAGGCTGATATGTTCTTTGATCCCTGCCGATCAGCAGAGGTAATGATACAAAACCTCAAATTTTCAGACCATGGTCATAACAGCACAGTGTAATTTCATGACCACATACAGTACTGACTACCAAATAATGCATCAGATACAGCAATGATTCATCTCACGTTAAGAGAACTCTTCTTGGTCTATGAAAATATAAAGCAGTTTAATTATTATCTAAAAACTACATGTTAATGAGTTACAGCTACATCATTTATTTGGTGACAGAGAAAAATATAATAATTTTTGTAGAATTGAGGTAATGTCGATCATTAATTGATATTCTTATGCAAATATTTCTGATGTTCAGACCATCAACTGTTACACACTGTGTAAGTGTTTGGTGAGAATGTAAAGGCTTTACATTTTTAGACCTGATAAGGGTCCATTCACAAAGGATGTCCGAGCCGAGGGGGGTTTGGAAAATCAGGAGAAACTCGGACATAGGGGGGGGGGAGGGAGGTTTTTTGCAATCCGGATGTCCAAAATTTAAAAAAATTCAAAAACAAATTTCTTTTTCCTCTATTTTGAACTCTCCTTCCCATTGTGAAATTGGCTTTTCGATCACTTCATAATATCTAATTCTTTCCTTCAATACATTTATAAGTTGTAAAAAAGTTCTAAGTAAAAAAATGTTTACTCTTGGCATATACAAGGTTGCATGTGTTTTTGCAAGGCATGGCGGATGTCCGGGGGGAGGTCACTAATTCGGACAATGCCGGACAAGGGGGGGAGGGGGGTCTGAAAATCCATCATTTGGCCAGACATCCTTTGCGAATGGCCCCTAACCAATTTTTTAGGTTGGTTAGGTCTATTTTAGGGCCATCCCATTTAATACACACACCCCCTATGGACAAGGTCAATAAAATTTTAACCCAGGCTATGAAAAAAAGATCAAAGTGCTGACACAAACACCCCCCCCCCAGAAATTAAGAAATTTTTGCCTTACCCCTCAGAAAAAATGCAAAGATCAAAGGATGCCGATGCACACAACCCCTCAGAAACAGCTTTTTCAAACCCCCTTAGAAATTCTCGTCCATAGGGCTGTGTATATTAAATGGAATGGCCCTATAAATATGTATAAAATTCACACTTAAAATATTCATCTAGTGACACTACCTTCGACATTTAAAGTTCTGTTGAGTGTGATGCCCCAAATCCTGATATTTACCCTTTACACCTTACTACTAGCTTCACCTTACGATATTTACATGAATTAACTTGCAATTACAGCTTGACAACTGTACATATAGCTGTTCAGTATAAATTGGTCTGAACACTGCATCAGAAATAATCACTGATGGCTGCAGGTTTATTCCTGTCTTTAAGGGTCTACATACAATGCTGCTTAGAAATGCTTTCATTAAACTGTTTTAAAGTTGCATTGTACCTTAATGCGCCCTATGTTATATTACATTGATCTGTAAAACACCAGGTGAGACAATTTTACTTGTCGAGGGGAGAGCACTGGTGCTTAAGTTAATCAGGTGTAAATGACACAAAAAGTGTCCCCAATCAGTTTGTTATGAGCAGAAACTACCTTCCTGGATAAGCTAGCTTCCAGTAGCTTATACAAAAGTTGGTGCATATAAACCATACACATCAATGACATGTCATCATACTGTAGTTTCATCAAGTGTATGTTTATAAAAGTAATAAAACGAGATCCTCAGGTCTCTGGAGTCAACCTTTTTAACATTATTACACAAGATAGTTCGCACTTTTGTGAGTTTAGACAGTATATATCATAGAAATTTGTGAATATCAAATCTTTGTTGTTTGCAACTATTAAGAGGAGAATTTTTTCTATGTCGCGTCTTTTCGATGAAAAGCGCTCAAAACCTACGCAATGCAAAAAAATGACGTTGTCGCGTACGCGTCAGCTGTATGGCGTTTACAAAATAGCAAAAAAGTTAAAACTTTTGAGAAAATAAGCTGAAAAGCCGTTCAAATCTGCTATATTTTCAGGTAAGTGCTTTTAACTACTCTAGAAATATAAAGAATATATCGTTTTGTCTTTCGTAAAATTGGTGTAATTGGTAATAAATATTGTTCTGATTTTTTGTAACTTCCGGTGTTATGAAAACAAGAAAGCCATTCAAAGTCAGTCAAAATATGTCGTAATTTTATGCAATTTAAAGAGATGTAAAACCAGTCTTTTTTAAAACGAAGATCTAAAAATGATGCGAAAAATATTACTCTCCGGTGTTTCTTGTTGCTATCTTGGCCAGACTCTTTCGATTCGCAGCTTTCATATATTTATTTTAGCTGTAGCGCGTTTCGTCCTAAACTCTAAAGGCTAAAAACCTGACATCGACGAGGTTTTAGATCTGCTTTCGTCTTCATACAATTTTAACTCAAGGACATTTGTAAAAGCAAATTCGTGCAGCCAATAAGGCAATAGTAAACTATATAATCAACATATATAAACAATGTTTGAACATTTAGACTATACATGTAAATATGTTATTACTTTCCCTTCAATTCAGATACGTAATTTAGCAAGAATGACTACTAGGCCTACAGATGTGAACGAGAAGGTATATTTATCTATGAGCAACTTTTATTTTGCTGTTTAAGTTGGTGAAAATCTCGCTGGTCATGCAACATTTATATATTTCCGAACTAGACTGCACATTTTTTCACAAATTATTACTCTTATCTTGACTTGCAGAGCATTCAAACTCTGAGAGCACTCTACGGCAAAAATAAGCCCTCATCGAAAAAGATTCAAGCAACTGAAATGTTTATGAAAGGGGAGAATTCTTTTCTGGTAATTGCGAGAGTCCTGAACGTTGCTACTGCCACAGCAGAAGTATATGCAATCGACGGATATTGTTCTGGTGCCCCATTATCTTACCAAGACCTGGCACCACAATTTAATTCAAGTTAAATAATGAAGAAGCAGATATTATTGCTGCTGAGCTACGGAGAGACAACGTTAGCTTAAGAATCGTGCGAGATGCACTTCAAAATGCTTTCAGTTACAACCAAATTAGGCTTGTGCTAGCTGCATTGATTCGCGGGGAAATATGAACTGAGTCAGAGTTGCATGATGTCCTATTCCAAAGAACGGACACTTCTTTTGTCAGAAGAGTATAAAACAAGTTTTTTATAACTTAGGAGTTTTAGGATTTTTAAATAAGAAAATAATTTGTGTATTTAAGAAAAGAAAAACAGTTTTTGTGAATTTTAAATTGTGAATTTAAAAATTTGATGTTGTATTCGAAACTAAAAATCTCTTACCTTTTTTGCTCCATTTATAATATTCACTCCAGGGAAACACGTTTTTCAAACTGTTAGCACTTATTATATATCAGTAATTTCCGTGAATCAGCTTTCTGTGGAGTAATTTTTATCACTTTCACGATATATACACCCAAAATATTCCACAAGTATTCTTTGCATGCTTGACAATGGCAAAACGTTTCGACTTTCGAGCACGACGAGCAGGTTTTACCAGTTGCATAGCAACCAACATAACAATAACGGCTGAACCGGGGGGAGAGGTAAATTAAAGGAAGGCTAGGAAGCTGAAGCAAAATGATTCATGATTAATTTTGCGTGTTCTTAATCGAATGACATTTATTTTGAAATGAAAAAAGAAAGGATGATAACATTTTATATTGTTGATTGTTTTTTCGAGACACTCTGTAGTAGCAACCTGTTTAGTGTTATAATTGGGATTGTATCTTGATGATAAGGACCCACTAGAAGTCATATTCACAGTATAATTGTGGAAATTTCCGTAAATGCGGCTTTAATATCGTGTAAAATCTTGCTACTACTTTGGCTTTCGTGCACGATTTATATGCTTATATGTATCAAGATCAAAGAGAAATTATATTGATGCGCGTTAGTGCGTTTATACAATACATGCATACAGTATAAGGGTCGTAGGACGTAGCAATAGGCAGGTTGAGATTTCTGGGATTGATATATCCGATTCTTGTGATCGCGTAACTCTGTTTTATGTAAACCCAATGCAATACGTATGCGTGAATACTGGGATATCTATAATCATGAAATAATAAAGTCGGGACCATTTCCGCCGTGGCGCATTTCTCGCGTATTTTAATAGTACCTATAAATATAAAAACGCACAATAACGTTTCCTTCCCATCAGATCACAATGTAGGTAAACATGTATACAGATTATCCCCTCACCCATGGGCGTACCGGAAGGAAAAAATTAGGGGGGCGGAAAGAAAATTGCCCGACTTTTCGGGATTTTGCCCGACTAGTACCAAAAAATTTTTCCGGAAAAATTTTTCTGGCGACCCCCCCCCCCCGTCGCCAAAAAAATTTCGGTCAGTGTACCATTTTAGGGGTCCAAAAAATTTTCCGGACAACCAATTTTTCCGAACATACACAAAATTTTCGAAAAATCTCAAAATTTGCCAACAAATTGACTTAATTTTAGATAAAATTTACAGAATTTGTCACATTTTTTTTTATTGCAAGCCGAAATTGCCCGACTGTTGATCCAATATTGCCCGACTGCCCAAAAAACTGGGGGGGCGGCCGCCTCCCCCGCCCCCCCCGCCCGGTACGCCTATGCCCTCACCCCCAACCCGCCACCATACATGTTCATTGTTTGACGTTTTTCAAAATGTGAAATGTTTGCAAACCAATAACATTGTAAGGTGTGGGCAAGGGGAAGTGATATTAGCGTGTAAAATGATTTTGCCTCATTTGAAGTATTTTTCATTTAACTTGTCCTTAATTTACAATTATTCCAAGGTTACACAAACTACTCGAGTGTACACACAGGGCATAAAAATCAAAATATGCGAACAAAGGTCTGGCCAAGACGAATTCCGAATTCTGGGGAGGATATTTCTAAAAAAAAACACATCCTTTCGACAATAACGTCATTTGAGTTCAATAAAAATTGATACAATAACAATAAAATGGATTTTTTATTTTTACAAATTGCAATTTTAAAATACATCTATATAAATTTATGACTTGTATCTATATAATCGTTTTTCCATAATAATACAAAATATTGTTTCGGGTTTATTTCAACAGAGCATGATTTATACGAATTTCAAATATTTATTTCTAGCTTAAAAATGGAGCGTGTACGACCAAAAGACGATCCATGCATCTTCTGCTTCAAAATAGTGTCATCTGAAAAAGAGAAAAGATACGTTACAACAGAAAATTACACACAATTAGGTTTAACGGAGGATGAATTCATCACAACACGAGGCAAAATAATTTGTTCTGCGTGTAGAATGTCGAGAATACTTCCGAAATACAAGAATAAGTGTCCCACATTAAATTGCACTACGCCGAGAAGAAAAATTAAATTACGTGAATTGCATTTATCCGACAAAGAGGAACTCATCATTCAAGAAAAATTTCAAGTGTCAAAGAACGAAAATGTGTGCCGGGCCTGCTCGTACAAAATATACAAATACATTGCGACTAGCTTGAAAGTAGAAAATAACGATTACATTCCAAAAGCTATAAGCCAAATGGATTCTGTGATCTGTACCTACAATAGATATCCAGCCTCGAGTAACATCAACGTTCAACAACTAGATGCCTCAACACCTCCACTCAGCAATAACATCAGTGAGAGATATCCAGCCTCGAGTAACATCAACGTTCAACAACTAGATGTCTCAACACCTCCACTCAGCAATAACATCAGTGAGAGATATACAGCCTCGAGTAACATCAACGTTCAACACCTAGATGCCTCAACACCTCCACTCAGCAATAACATCAGTGAGAGATATACAGCCTCGAGTAACATCAACGTTCAACACCTAGATGCCTCAACACCTCCACTCAGCAATAACATCAGTGAGAGATATCCAGCCTCGACTAACATCAACGTTCAACAACTAGATGCCTCAACACCTCCACTCAGCAATAACATCAGTGAGAGATATACAGCCTCGAGTAACATCAACGTTCAACACCTAGATGCATCAACACCTCCACTCAGCAATAACATCAGTGAGAGATATCCAGCCTCGAGTAACAAGCTTAACCACGGAGGAAGACCAAGGAAAAAGTTCAGCGAAGGAAGCGTATCTACGAGACGTAGAATAAAATCAAAGGCAAAGAGTTTACTGAGTGAACTGGTTGGCAAGTATGACGAAATATCGAAAGGGGAAGGACGGGAATTATTTGAAGATGTTTGTGATAAAGTACCAATTAGTAGCACAACCGACAAAAAATTGCTCGAAGTGGTTCATGGTATCGCAAAGGCTTACACAAAAGAACCGCCAGGACCCGCCGGAAAGACTAGAATTTTAAGCACCGTTGCAAACGCCTTTTCTAACAAGGAACTTCAAGCCAAATTTAACTGCACTGACTATGAAATCACACAAGCTCGTAGACAAGCCACTGAATATGGACCTGGGGTTACACCACCAAAGAAAAATAAATTTGTTACGAAATACAGAATTCCACTTGAAGACCTTGAGTTTGTCCTCAATTTTATTCACCATCCAGATAATGCAGTTCCATCTTCTCACAGGATGGCTTCATGTGACGGTAAAAACTCATCTTGGATTTCAGATCTCGTTGGTGGAGGAAAACTACCCGTTCTGTGGTTGAAAGACGGAAAGCATCACCTTTACGACAAATACAAGGAAGAATGTTGTAGGCGAGGTAGCAGACCAATAAGTAGAACTAAATTCTTGGAGGGATTAAATGCAGGTAATTTCAAAGAAATGGTAGAAATGGCTGGCTTATGCAACATCTGTGACGAGGTGGGAGCGCGAAATTTTGAAAGTTTGGACGCGCTGCTTTCTAGCTTAGACGAGGAGATAAAATTGCACAAGCCAAAACCAAGTTTGATAGCAGAAACCCCCGAAGTTGACTGTGGCCGTGGAATTGTATCCCAAGTGGTGACAATGGTTGACTTATCAAACCATGAAGACGACAAGCAGCAAATCGACCCGCTGCCTTACGACTCTCCGATTCTGATGGTGGAAGTAGAACCTGGTCTATCCGATCTACCGTTGACACAGGCGCTCAGGAAGAGATTGAAAGGTTTCAGAGGTCATCTATTATCGGAATTCCAACAATCCCTAAGCAGTACGTCAAATACTCCTTGCCACTGCATGACCTGGTTGCTTGAAGCGGAACCCAAGTGCAAAGACCATGAAGAAATATGCAACAAATGCTTCGAGAGATATCTGTTATTTGAAGATATTCAAGAATGTGTCTACCATAGCAACCTACCAAAAGAAAGAAAGGTCCACTACAAAGAATTACTTGATGGAATTGAATTAAAGTCACGAATGTATATAGCTCATCTCGTTCGTGGCAAGTACCAAAAGCAAGAATTTTTGAAAGCCATACGTGAGCTTCGTTCCGGCCAAACGATCGCAGTATGCGACTACATGATGAAGCTCTTGTTACAAAAGTTCCGGGAGCCACAAAAGGATTGGTACGCCAAGAAGGGAGTTTCTGTCCATGGATGTATGTTCTTCTTTCGTTCTGAGGATTCGTCTGAGATTGAGATCGAAATCCATGATTTATTTTCTAATGGAGACTGTACACAGAATTGGTTCTTTACAGCAAGCGCATTTGAGGCCTCGTTTACAAATTTTCAAGCTCGTCACCCTAACATTCATACAGTTTCCATATGGTCAGACAACGGACCTCACTATCACAACACATCTCTAATGTTATGGTTGATGCGTCTACCCGAGTTTTGTCCACTGACAGTAGACAAGTATTCGTTTTTCGAAGCCCAAAAAGGGAAGACAGCATTGGACGCGCACTTCGCCACTTTTAAATTTGTACTGAGGGCTTGGATGAAACGAGGGAACGACATTCAACTGAGTGAAGACATCACAAATGGTACAAAAGATCACTTGAAAGGCACCCATGTATACGAAATAAATATCAATCGTAACTTAGAACCACCTAGTGCAAAGACATGGGCAGGAATAACCGGTCACAGTGAGTTCATCTACCATTACGAAAATAACATTTGCAAGAAAATAGAAGTGAAAGAACAAACAAATGCAACCGAAAGCAAAACCCTTAAGAAAAGTAAACTGTTAAAGTTATGGCCTTCCTATATATGTTCCGAAAGCACATCCACGGGAGTCACGTCTGCTTTCGATATGGAAGAATCAGAAAAGAAGGTTCCACGTTTTGAACACAAACCAAAGGAGAAACGTATGAGGCAAAAGAAAAATATGGAAACTTCTGCGCATGAAGAAATTACAAATCCTGGAAGAAAATGTCCTTCGTGCTCGAAATTCTTTTTGCGTCCAAAATCATTGGAGCGACATATCGGTTGCAAGACCTGCATCAGAAGATCAGGAGTCCCTCGTGCAAAGCATGCTAAGGTGACAGCAACACTCAAATCACAGGCAGCCAGAATTACATCCACTACATGCACCTTGGGATTAGACGTAAAGAAACAGAATATTCGAAAGAAAGAAAAGTTGATATTAGATAATTGGGAAAACGAAGTAAAAGGAAGTGCTAGAAAGACAGCAAACCTGAAGCGAAAAAGGGCAAAGTTTACTGAAGAGCA